AAAAAAAAAAAAAAATTACTGGGGCTGGGAAAGTGGCTCAGTGGTAGAGTGCTTGCTTTGCATGCATGAGGCCCTGGGTTCCATTCTTCAGTACCACATAAGCAGAAAAAGCTGGAAGTGGCGCTATGGCTCAAGTAGTAGAGCACTAGCCTTGAGCTGAAGAGCTGAGGGACAGTGCCCAGGCCCAGAGTTCAGGTCCTACAACTGGCAAAAAATAATAATAATAGGATAGTTATAAGGTGGTTCAATACTGTCATACACATTTAGGAAGCTTACAGTGCCAAAAAATGTCAGTTTCTTCAAAAGATACACTCTCATCAGTGTTATTTGCCAGTTAGAGATTAAAATTATTTTAACATTTAGAATAAGTGATAAACAAGGTTTCAAATTACATTTTTTTTCCTTTGATAGTAGTAGGATTTGAATTCAGGGTCTCCTGTTTGATGTGGTGCCACTCTACCCCTTGAGCCATACCTGTCGTCCATCTTTTTGCTGGTTAATATAAGAGAATCTCTTGGGCTTTTCTACCTGGGCTGCACTGAACCAGCTCTACAGATCTCAGTCTCCTGAGTTGCTAGGATTACAGGTATGAGGCATCATCTGTATCACATTTTTAACTAAAAAAAGCTCAGTTTATAGTTTTTAAAGTGAAAAGATTTTGACATCTTGAAGCTTAAGATTAGTCATCCCAATTCTTGAAGTGTCTGTTAAAAGAAAAAAATTATCTTTTTTTTTTTTGTCGGTCATGGGGCTTGAACTCTGGGCCTGGGCACTGTCCCTCAGCTCTTCAGCTCAAGGCGAGCACTACCACTTGAGCTACAGCTCCACTTCCGTTTTTCTAGTGGTTTATTGGAGATAGGAGTCTCATGGTCTTTCCTGTCCTGGCTGGCTTTGAACCCAGCCTCCTGAGTAGCTAGGATTACAGGCGTGAGCCACCGGCACCCAGCTAAAAATTATCTTAAGGTACAGCACTTACCTAGCATGGGGCCCTGGGGTTTAACCTAAACACTGATAAACAAAAATAAACAAGTTTCAAAGACCAAGTACAAATTTTAGCTTAAAATATTAGACATTTAAATTACTAACCTTAAACACATCCTCAATACACCTATTAAGTTCTTCTTCTGTCACCAAAATGGTCCCTGGCACCATGTCACTCTCTGGAATCTCTAGGAAAAATAAACACAATTACTCACACTCAGCCCCTGGGTCCCACTGAGTAAATGACACGCAGAAGGTTTTACTAGTGAGATGGTCCAGCTAAGACCAGACAATTGATACAGTTCCCTGTAATTGCCCCCTCCCTTTTTTTTTTTTTT